CAGGTGATAATCAATTCAGATAAGGCCTATTTTTTAGTCTACATGACGACACCAGGAGTGGGACAATACATTAGGGAGTTACAACTGCAGTCATTTGATTACCGACAAAGGGGATAATCTTCAGTAGGCCTATTCTAGCCTGGAGGATAACAATCAATAAATGCTAAAACAGTCAGATTACTGTACTTAGGGCTATCAGTTTATTTTAAGAAGTTGATACATTTATCCCTCATTAGTTGATTGGAGTAGGATCAAGAAATCCATCTTAACTGCAGGGCAGTTGAACCTTATGAATACTGGTGACGGCTTACTGTAGGTGAAAGACACTAGAATAGAAGCCACCCTACACAGGACATTATGGTGAGGATATCCCATGAAGGATCAGTACTTACGGTACCACCTGAGACCTTGTGCACCCTATTCGAAAGTATTCAGACCACTTGACTTTTTCCACATTCTGTTACGTTACAGCCTTATCTAAAATGATTAAATTGTTTTTTCCCCTCATTACTTAATCTACACACAATACCCCATAACGACAAACCAAAAACTGGTTTTTTAGATTTTTTTGCAAATCTATTAAAATTAATAACGGAAATATCACATTCACATAAGTATTCAGACCCTTTACTCAGTACTTTGTGAAGCACCTTTGGCAGCGATTACAGTCGCGAGTCTTCTTTGGTATGACGCTACAAGCTTGGCACACATGTATTGGGGAGTTTCTCCCATTCTTCTCTGCAGATCCTCTCAAGCTCTGTCAGGTTGGATGGGGAGCGTCGCTTCCACAGCTATTTTCAGGTCTCTCCAGAGATGTTCGATCGGGTTAAAGTCCGGGCTCTGGCTGGGCCATTGTAGGACATTCAGAGACTTGTCCCGAAGCCACTCCTGCATTGTCTTGGTGTGTGTGCTTAGGGTTGTTGTCCTGTTGGAAGGTGAACCTTGGACCCAGTCTGAGGTCCTGAGCGCTCTGGAGCAGGTTTTCGTCAAGGATCTCTCTGTACTTTGCTCCATTCATCTTGCCCTCGATCCTGACTAGTCCTCCCGTCCGCCACTGAAAATATCCCCACAGCATGATACTGTCACCACCATGCTTCACCGTAGGAATGGTGCCAGGTGTCCTCCAGAGAGTTCAATCTTGGTTTCATCAGACCAGAGAATCTTGTTTCTCATGGTCTGAGAGTCCTTTAGGTGCGTTTTGGCAAAAGGTCTGAATACTTGTTTTTTATTTTTAATAAATTTGCAAACATTTCTAAAAACCTGTTTTGCTTTGTCATAATGGGATATTGTGTGTAGATTGATGAGCACATTTTTGATTTTATCCATTTTAGAATAAGGCTATAACCTAACAAAAGTGGAAAAGGGAAGGGGTCTGAATACCTTCCGAATGCACTGTATATCCTATAATTCATTACAATGGTTCCAATTGGTCTAAGTCTCTCTCTTTTCACGTTATACATGAGGTAAGCTCAGTGTAAACTAATATGTCAGTCTACCTTTTGTAATAATTGTTGAGTTCTTGACATCGTTATGAATTCATCCATTATGCTGTACCCCTTATGGCAGGGATCTTCAACTAGATTCAGCCGCGGGCCGATCTTTCTTGAGCGGAGGGTCGGAACATAACTACAAATTATTTGTAGACTGCAAATTGACCGCAAGAGCCCAAACAATATTTGACAAAACATAATAATTCAAACCTTGCCAAACATTTGCATATGATCACGTGTCTATCTATTATGCGTGGAAATACTTGGAAACAGATTTCCCAAATTAAAATCACTGGAGCTGATTTCCTGGTGTTTTTACTGTTTTTTATGTGCAACAATGGAAATTACAAAAAAAATACACAAAATATCTATTGTTTTTGCTCAGAAACTTGGGGCCGCAAATAAAACCATCAGGCATCTGCCTTAGTGAGGTTTTCTGATAGGTTCAGCCTACACCACGTAATTTTTAAAGAGGCAAATGCCTGATGCAGTTGAAAGAGGAAATGCGCATTGAAGGTATTTCAGGTAGGTAAAAGGTTATAGCTGACTGAGCACTCAGTGAGGTCTCAGGTGATGACCGAGGTCATTTACCCTGTTCTAACTTAATGGACAGACAGACAATTTTCTTTCTCAAAAGTTTATTTTCAATTTTGTAGCATTTTTTTGTGCATTTAAACAATACTTTGAAAAACAAGCATCTTGAAAACAGCTCTAGTCTGCCTCCAGTCATTTTCTATTTCCCTCATACATTAAATGATGGCCTTGAGATATTCCTGCATTAGCAGAGTAGAAAACTCAGTACGTAATCGTTAAAAGCACTTACAAATCTACATTTTGCTTTGTGTATATTTAGCTAACATTTTGTAACATCGATAAACACCCACCAAATCCTGTTCAACATTCATTCCCTCTAATTTCCACCAAAGATACTTTCAGTTTCTCCTCCTCTCTCTTCCTGAGAACAATACCTTTAAATACAGCTGAAACTCTGATAAATGATACAATTTTTTACTTGGACAACACTGCAGTAGGCCAAGCCTATAATCTACTGTAAAACACAAAGACAGCACATTGGGCTGTAGTCTGTCTACATCTGGAGCATCTAATGGAAAATAAAAAGCATGGAGTACATAGGGCATAGCCTCCAATTATGTCCTATCATTGAAGCCATGACCCCATGGAGGTCCTTGTTATTTTTGGTCTCTGAAGAAGAGGTGACAGAATGCTGGAACGTGACCTGCAGCTTCCAGGGGAGTGTGGACAGGGACTCTGCCAACGCAGAGGGGAGAGAAATGCTTCCCCCTGGGCTGTCAAATGTCCCTAGTGGTGTGACTAGTGTTAAGGTGTCTGTATGAAGAGATACATACTTCCTCTTGGGCTGTTATTAAAGTATGGGACTCATGTTAGTGAGTGTTAGCACTGTGACCATTTTTTATTTTTCTGAAGAAAGACAATTCCCCTGTGCAACTCTCAAGAGACATCTCTAGTTGCAGTACCACCATGGCAGTCAGGCCTATTCTATATGTCAGTGGGTCATCATAAGTAATTATCTGAATACAGTGCAATTGATCTGACACCATGGTAATCCAAACTCAAACCATATCCATTCCAGAGCCACACCTCATCACTATCTTCCCTGTCTATCTACTCTGACCTTTCAGTCCGCACCTTCCCTGAGGTGCAGTGGAAAGGTGCTGCTGTGCTATGGGTGTGTGCTGTGTCCCTCCAGGGCTCTACTATGGAGGCCTGTGTCTCTCTCACGTCAGGGCTAGGGCACAGATCAGAGGAGTCATTTCCATTTCCTCCCATTGGCTAATTACTGTCTGCACGCTCTGCCAGCCATTCTTCCCCTCTCATGTCATAACAGAAACCTGTGCAGTGGAAAACCCCTGATTACCCTGCGTAGATTAGACAGAGGTGTTAATACAGTAACTTCCATCCTCACAGGGTGGGATATGTTTTAACAGAGGGAGAAGCGTCGGGAGTTGATGTTCATCTTGGTGAGGCCAAGGTGTTTGAGGGTGGTGGAGAGAGCAAAGGCAGCCTTCATGGGGATGTCACAGAGCAGGTCGGACTCCTCGCCACACTCCTCCAGCTCGTAGGTGGCGTCGTCCAGCATCTCCTTGTGGCGGTGACCACACCTGCTCCACCTTCAGCCGGTGGATCTCCACACGCAGACGGATCAGCTGGCGTGCCAGACGGTTGTCCTGGAACCGCATCTCCCTCTTGAGGAGGAAAGGAAAGAGAGAGGGGAGAGATTAGTAATCAAATATCAATTCAAGCGCTCGTTTCCTTGGATTAGGCTTTTGTCATTGATGTGTAAAGACACTGACACATGTCTGTGTAAAAAAGTATTTGCATTTCTATTTTAGGATTTTTCAGCTCTGAAATTAACACAAGGTCCCTATTGTTTTAGTGTGTTTGCATTATTTTGGATGCAAAGATAGCACATAGTCATGCTGTAATCAGACAAGCATTCAAGTAGAGCTCAACAGTGAAAACAAGTTTATTTCCCATTGATGTCTCCATCACACGACACTGGTGGCTGGCATAGAGGCTCTGCGTTATGGCACACCTGAGTCATGAGGAAGCACAAACCAGCCAACCCAAACCAGTGTAACTACTTACCTGGTAATTACGTTTGTCAAATAGTCGCATTGTGTCCGATTCATATCGAGTTGAATATTTTCATTGTATATCTGAAATAGTGTAGCCTTATTAATTTCTAACATGTCCAAGTAAAAATAACAGATTCAGAGTGGAGATTTTTTTTGTCAATATTGGCATTAAAAAGACGTGCACTCACCAGCTCTTTTCTAAGAAAATCCAACGCATCATCATGGTATCGAAGCCACAGATGTTGCGTATGGTTAGATCTGAGTTCTCATCCCGCATAACTTCAGGCAAAAACACATATTTTTCTGCAGTCTCTTGACTATTATCTAAACCATTTGGGTTCTCCTTCCACGGTCGGCTCTGCAAGCGCTCCTGCCATTCAAAGTAGGATGGTCTGCGGGTTTGTAACTTTAGTTTTCGGTAAGTGCTTTCACATTGTTCAAATCCTCAGCGTTTCCCTCATTATCTCCTTCGCAGTTGTCCTCACCTCCCAGCTCCTTAAAGTCCATTGCAATTGCACTAGACGTTTTAAATGGATCTGCGTAAAAAGACATCACAGAGGCTGCGAAAACGTTTGAATGAGTTATTCACAGAGCAAGATATGTCCCTTGAGTGTTCAGTCAGTGGGCTTGCCAGTTCTGGATTGGAGTGCACTGGTGATCCTTACTTTATTTATAGAGTGATAAGGATAAACAAAAGTGACCGCCCCTTATTGAGCGAGGGGAAGAGGTGTAGGTCATGCAAGTATCCATGTGACCACAAGTTGGTGAAATAAAGAGTTAGCGGTGTCTACTTATGGCAGCACTCAGGTGCAACTTCTAACGTTGGAATGCAATGATCTGATTTGACATGTAAAAAAAATCCTACACTAAAATGGCAATAGGATAAAAGTGACATTGATTTATCCATATCTCTGAAACGTGATTAGTTAAGATGACTCCTAGATATATTTTGTTTTTATCTGGAATGTTTGTAATAAAAATATTTCTTATTTGATTAGATTGAAATATTTTGGTGTTGCCAATTCATTTTTAGTAGGACTGGTACAGTAGCTATACATAAACATAATGTATCAGTGCATGATCCTGACTGAAGAACAGCTGAGAAACTGTAAAAAGGTTTCACTTACTATGACTGTGATATGTGGTTGTGTTACCTAGCTTGTATGTCGCTCTTGATAAGAGCGTCTGCTAAATGACAAAAAATTTAAATGTAAACGCGTCAGAAATAGGATTGGAATGTTTTCATTTGAGGCAATGCCTCCATCTAGTGGTGATATTGTAACACGCATGGGGAGTCTATTCAACTTGCTCAATAATGGGCTGAAAGATGGATAGCAAGCAGCATGCTACATGTTTTAACACTATATGTGAATGAAAACATTCTACTTTCTCCCACCTACTATTTGACCTCCAGATGATCCATTTTCTATCAAAAACTAGGTCAACACACAGGAAATGAGAAGGGTATTCACAAATATTGACCAATACAGTGGCTTGCTTTAGGTGAGTGACCTGAAGTTACTAGATGAGTATGTAAACTAACTAGTCTGGGATGGTTCAACAACAGCTTGAAAGAGACCGAAATCAGTCAGCAGCTGATTTCACTCAAAAAATCGAGTATGATTTTTATACATACTCAACTCCAATAGTCTAATTAAGCAATAAGGCCAGAGGGGGTGTGTGGTACATGGCCAATATACCATGGCTAAGGGCTGTTCTTAAGCACAACGCAACGTGGAGTGCTGGATACGCCTTAGCCGTGGTATATTAGCAATATACCCACAAACACCCGAGGTGTCTTATTGCTATTATAAACTGTTTACCAACGTAATTAGAGCAGTAAAAAATAAATGTTTTGTCATACCCGGTCTGATATACCACGGCTTTCAGCCGATCAGCATTCAGGGCTCTACCCACCCAGTTTATAATGGTATTTTGGTGAGGTTTGTTGACTTTACATAGGGAGGGAACATGCCCGATCCACATCAATGGATCGTGGTCCTCTGTAGCTCAGCTGGTAGAGCACGGCGCTTGTAACGCTTGGAACGCCAAGGTAGTGGGTTCGATCCCGGGACCACCCATACACAAAAATGTATGCACGCACGACTGTAAGTCGCTTTGGATAAAAGCGTCTGCTAATGGAAATTATATTATATTATAATGGGACTGCAGTAGACAGAGTTTTAAGTCCTCTGCATCCACATCACAGAAGACTTGAAATGGACCAACAACACCACCACCACTCTGTCAAGAGAGCCCAACAGCGTCTCTACTTTCCTATGGCGGCTGAAAAAAAATTGGCATGCCACCCGGACCCTCTACAAATACTACCGCTGCACCATCGAGAGCGTCCTGACCGGTTGCTTCACGGCCTGTGACGGGAATTGCTCCGTCTATGACGCAAGCCCATCCAGCAGGTGGTGAATATGGCCCAGTACATCACTGCTGGAACTGTGCTCCCACCCATCCAGGACATCTACTTGAAACCGTGCCTGAGGAAGGCCCGCAGCATGATCAAGGACCCACACACCCCAGCCACGAGCCGTACCCTCCAAGTTTGCAGACGACACAACAGTAGTAGGCTTGATTACCAACAATGATGAGACAGCCTACAGGGAGGAGGTGAGAGCTCTCGGAGTGTGGTGTCAGGAAAATATCCTCTCACTCAACGTCAAAAAACAAAGGAGATGATCGTGGACTTCAGGAAACAGCAGAGGGAGTACCCCCCTATCCACATCGACGGGACAGCAGTAGAGAAGGTGGAAAGTTAAGTTTCCTCGGCGTACATATCACTGACAGACTGAAATGGTCAAACCCACACAGACGTGTGGTGAAGAAGGCGCAACAACCTCAGGAGGCTGAAGAAATTTGGCCTGCCACCTAAAAACCCTCACAAACTTTTACAGATGCACAATTGAGAGCATCCTGTCGGGCTGTATCACCGCTTGGTATGGCAACTGCACCGCCCACAACCGCAGGGCTCTCCAGAGGTGGTGCGGTCTGCACAACGCATCACCGGGGGCAAACTACCTGCCCTCCAGGACACCTACAGCACCCGATGTCACAGGAAGGCCAAAAAGATAATCAAGGACAACTACCACCCGAGCCACTGCCTGTTCACCCCGCTATCATCAGAAGGCGAGGTCAGTACAGGTGCATCAAAGCTGGTACCGAGAGACTGAAAAACAGCTTCTATCTCAAGGCCATCAGACTGATAAACAGCCATCACTAGCACAGAGAGGCTACTGCCTACATACAGACTTGAAAATCACTGGCCACTTGAACAAATGGAACACTAGTCACTTTAATAATGCCACTTTAATAATGTTTACATATCTTGCATTACCCATCTCATATGTACAGTGAGGGAAAAAATTTGATCCCCTGCTGATTTTGTACGTTTGCCCACTGACAATGACATGATCAGTCCATAATTTTAATGGTAGGCTTATTTTACCAGTGAGAGACAGAATAACAACAACAAAATCCAGAAAAACGCATGTCAAAATGTTATAAATTGATTTGCATTTTAATGAGGGAATAAGTATTTGACCCCCTCTCAATCAGAAAGATTTCTGGCTCCCAGGTGTCTTTTATACAGGTAACAAGCTGAGATTAGAGCACACTCTTAAAGAGAGTGCTCCTAATATCAGCTTGTTACCTGTATAAAAGACACCTGTCCACAGAAGCAATCAATCAATCAGATTCCAAACTCTCCACCATGGCCAAGACCAAAGAGCTCTCCAAGGATGTCAGGGACAGATTGTAGACCTACACAGGCTGGAATGGCTACAAGACCATCGCCAAGCAGCTTGGTGAGAAGGTGACAACAGTTGGTGCGATTATCACAAATGGAAGAAAGAAACACAAAAGCACTGTCAATCTCCCTCGGCCTGGGGCTCCATGCAAGATCTCACTCGTGGAGTGCAATGATCATGAGAACGGTGAGGAATCAGCCCAGAAACTACACGGGAGGATCTTGTCAATGATATCAAGGCAGCTGGGACATAGTCACCAAGAAAACAATTGGTAACACACTACGCCGTTGAAGGACTGAAATCCTGCAGCGCCCGCAGGTCCCCTGCTCAAGAAAAGCACATATACAGGACCGTCTGAAGTTTGCCAATGAACATCTGAATGATTCAGAGGAGAACTGGGTGGTGGAAAAAGTGTGTGGTCAGATGAGACCAAAATCGAGCTCTTTGGCATAAACTCAACTCGCCCGGTTTGGAGGAGGAGGAATGTGCACTATGACCCCAAGAACACCATCCCCCCCACCGTCAAACATGGAGGTGGAAACATTATGCTTGGGGGTTGTTTTTTTTCTGCTAAGGGGACAGGACAACTCACCCGCATCAAAGGGACGATGGACGGGGCCCCATGTACCGTCAAATCCTGGGGTGAGAAACCTCCTTCCCTCAGCCAGGGCATTGAAAATGGGTCGTGGAGGGTATTCCAGCATGACAATGACCCAAAACCACATGGCCAAGGCAACAAAGGAGTGGCTCAAGAGAAGACACATTAAGGTCCTGGAGTGGCCTAAGCCAGTCTCAGACCTTAATCCCATAGAAAATCTGTGGAGGGAGCTGAAGGTTCGAGTTGCCAAATGTCAGCCTCGAAACCTGAATGACTTGGAGAAGATCTGCAAAGAGGAGGGGACAAAATCCCTCTGAGATGTGTGCATTCCTGGTGGCCAACTACAAGAAACGTCTGACCTCTGTGATTGCCAACAAGGGTTTTGCCACCAAGTACTAAGTCATGTTTTGCAGAGGGGTCAAATATTTCCCTCATTAAAATGCAAATCAATTTATAACATTTTTTACATGCATTTTTCTGGATTTTGTTGTTGTTATTCTGTCTCTCACTGTTCAAATAAACCTACCATTAAAATTATAGACTGATCATGTCTTTGTCAGTGGGCAAACGTACAAAATCAGCAGGGGATCAAATACTTTTTTCCCTCACTGTATATAGTGTATTCTATACTATCTATTGCATCTTAGCTATGCCACTCTGCTAATGACATTGCTCATCCATATATTTATATATTCTTATTCCATTCCTTACTTTACTTAGATTGTGTGTATTAGGTTTTTGTTGTGGAACTGTTACATATGACTTGCTAGAAATGTGCTGCACTGTCGGAACTAGAACCATAAGCATTTCACTACACTCTGAATAACATCTGCTAACCATGTGTATGTGACCAATACATTTGATTTGGTTGATTTTGTACCGTCGGGCACACGGTATCGGAGTATGATGGTCTGATACCAACAGGCTCAGAGACAGTTTCTATCTACAAGCCATCAGACTGTACCGGAGCATGAGGTCTGATACCAACAGGCTCAGAGACAGTTTCTTTCTACAAGCCATCAGACTGCTTAACACTTGAACTGGACTGACCACTTGCACTGACTCTCTGCACCTTAGCACCATGCACTCACTCACGCACACACCCACAAAGATATACACTCATTATTATGAGTATATGATGCTAAATACTGCACAATATAAACACTTGCTCCTCAAAACACGTGTAAATATTAGACTATAAATAGTGCCTTCCTGTATTATACTTATGCTCAAATGTTTATTCTATTGTGCTATTACTTTACTGTTTGTGTTCTTATA